AGCATATGTAATTATGGTTTTTAACTTTTTAATGTGGGAACAATTTTTCCATTTGCAACACTTTGCTCTGTTTCTCTCATTATTGGATCAGAACAAAATGAACACTTTGCAGCAGTATAATGTTTTTTTAATATCCCACAATAACAATACAATGAATCATCTGTTACTTTACTGGGAATATATGCTACATTTTTGGAACCACTGTCTGAATGCTTAAAGCCTTGTTCTGGAAGCCAAACTAACATTATAAACTCATGCTTGAAAATATGATGCCAACGCCCTTGGTAAGTTGCATGTTGAGGAAAATGTGTTTTGCCTCACGCCCTTCCATGGTGACTACTCTTATACCTTGCTTGTACTTTTCGAACACTTGATGTGCATGAACCGGGACAACATGACCTAATGTTCAAATAGTTGGGTTTACTGAATCTTGTACAAACATGGCATTTATCCTTAAGTATTTGCAAGCTGCAATCAAAAGTTGATCTATTTCGGCTTCCTTGATATCAAACCGATTAAAAAGTGAAACACAATGTCTTAACCTCTGGCCATGAAAGCGAAAACTAAAACTGCTATCCGGTCAAAAAAAAATCATACGATTCTCACCTGAGATACAAAATCACTTTTGCTGGACAGTGGTGTAGCTAGGATTTAGAACATGTCCCGCCGGATGACACAAATAAGGGGGCTTGGGGGGACTCTCCCCCGAGAAATTTTTGAATCCAGACCCTCGGAAATGGCATTTTCGGCGATTTTGAGATTGTTAAGAGGCTAATATGCAGTGCTATAAAACACCCCTGAAATATAAAATTTCCGCATAGATGTCTCAAATTTTTCCTTCTCGGTTGAACTTTGCACTAGTATTTTCTAACAATTTAGGCTCAGAGTTCTCTGTAGTTCCAACGTATGCGTTCGGCAGGAAAAAACCGAAAAATTGCCTATGTAGAACATGAAAACACTCATCATAGCCCAAATATATACTAAGAATAAAAAAGGAAACACTTTCAACATGCTGCATTTGCATTTATTTCTAAGATGTAAAAGTTACCGTCCGAAGACGTCAATTATTATAGATTTTTGAATTGCCCAAAAACTCAAACTCAACTGCAGGTGCTGAGGTGCACGTGGATATCTCCCCAAATAGAACATTAAAAAAGTGTGGATGTATGCCTTAACAAAACCTCCCCAACATTAAAAAAGTGTGGACGTTTACTTTAACAAAATGAGGTCACCACTAAAGTGGGAATCTCCCCAACATTAAAAAAGTGTGGATGTATACTTTAACAAAATGAGGTCACCACTAAAGTGGGTATCTCCCCAACATTAAAAAGTGTGGATGTATGCTTTAACAAAATAAGGTCACCACTAAAGTGGGTATCATGCTTTAACAAAATGAGGTCACCACTAAAGTGGGTATCTCCTCAACATTAAAAAAGTGTGGATGTATGCCTTAACAAAAAGGGGTCACCACTACTGTGGATATCTCCCCACAGTTCTATTATTACAAAAATATTAGTTAGATAGCCCTAAAAGGAAAATCATTTAAAAAAATAATGAAGTATCGTTTAAAAAGAAATGGAAGCCTCCTGGGTTTTTCAACAAATTTCTTGATAATGTGCTCATGCAAGGTATTGTCATCTTCTAAAAGCTTTATGATATCTTTGTGAATAGAAATCCTACAAAGAGAACTGAGTTGGGCCTGGCCCATCCTGTTTCTTAAATATCCCTCAACCCTTTTTAAACAGGAAAATGATCTTTCAACTGATGCACTTGACACAGCTAAGACCCCATTCATTTTGAATAACTTGACAGCTTCTGGTAGACTAGACTGAAGATTAAATTGAAATATATATTTAAGAACTTCATTACTAGACCCCATATGGAAGTCCTTATCATTGTAAATAAAACTAAGTTGACTCTGAAGCATTGGGAGATCAAAAAGGCTTCCATACATTTCCTTGAGAAGGGTTATTTTCTCAGGAGGAGGAACTCCATTCCAAGTTGAAAAAACCTTTGGATTTACCAGATCTAAAAACTCAAATTGTTTCATATCTTGGAATCTCTCACTTAACATTCCTACAATAGAATCAATTATCTCAAAATAAAGGGCTTTGTAATTATGTTTTTTGTCTGCTTTACTTGCAGGTTGACCTACTTTATCTACTGCTTCTTGATAAAATTTACCAAACTCTTCATCGGTACGAAGAGAAGAAACAAAATTTTTAAAACTTTCAATCTTGTTTATGCCATAGCTAAAGTCTGTACCTGTACTCTGAAGCACTGAATACAAAATAGAAGACTGCTGTAAAATTTTGTAAAAAACACATACTAAAAAACAAAAGAGAAAACTATTAAGATAGTGCAGTAAGCCACTAACCTTACTCAATGATTCATCATCCCAACCATTAGGTTGATCTGTTATTCCTTCAAAAAGTTCTAAAAGTTTCTCATAATTATTATACAAAACCTTAACAACACGGGCTCGATAATACCACCTGGTATCACCAGGGCTAGGGAACTCAAGATTATGGGAGGTCAGAAATGCCTTTCTTCTAGGGGCATTACTTGTGAAAGTACAAAAGCCACCTATATTGATAAAAAAAATTTTGATGGGGGCAATAGATGAGGCAGACTGACACAAAAGAAGATTTAACCTGTGAGCTGCACAATGGACAAAATGGGCAAAAGGATACTCTTGACGAACCAAAGTTTGAACACCATTAATGTGGCCAGACATGACAAAAGCACCATCATAAGTTTGCATTATAAGTTTCTCCTTCATAGTAGAAAACTGACCAAGTTTATCTTTCACAACTTCTGATATTGCAGCAGTCCTATTCATACTCACATCCACAAATCCTAATTGTCTTTCAACAATTTCACTACCCTTATCTAAATGTCCAATTATACTTACCTGCTCTTTGGTAGAAACATCAGAGGTCTCATCAACCTGCACATTGATAAAAGTACAATCATCTATCTCCTTCATAATTACATCATCAATAACAGAATCAATACAATTAATTAAATCATTTTGAATTTCAGGAGACACCCCAGTAAAACGCCCACCCCTTCCAGATTCAGCCAACCTACCATGCAGTCTTCGTTCAAATACAGAATCAAACTTGGCAAAGGACTCAAGCAACTCTCTATAATTTCCTTTATTCAAACTATCTTCTTTCTCTTCGTGACCCCTGAATGCCAAATCCTGCTTTGATAAATATAGTACTGCTTCGGTCACAGTCTTAAGGATCTCCCGATTTTGTCTCACCTCTTCATTGTGCCTTTGAATTTCATCCCTTCTTGCTTGCGAAAGAAGAGAATCCACTCCCACATTCACCTAAACATTTTCCACATCTTGTAGGCAGCCAAGTAAGTGTGACTTGGACTTTTCATGCTTTTTCCCATCTGACATCAAGCTTCTCATGTCCGTATAGCCAGTCTTCGTCCATGTGGGTGACGTTCCCGGACAGAACAAAAGACATGGCCAACAGAACAATTTTGCTAAAACAGAGCTGCCACAAAGCCAATCCTTTTTAGAGTACCACTCCTTCATGAATGACCTCACCTTATTCTTAATATTTAAATTTGGAGTTGGTCGTTCCTTGACAATAACATTTTGTTCAACAGTTGGTCGAACAGAAAAAGATCTCATCAACAAAGCATTTACAATATCAGATACACATGATTGAACAGAAACAGGATTGGTCACGCTTGTTGATGCCATTGTATTTGTATGCAAATCTCAAGGAGAAAGGAAAATAACAAATATGAATACATGAATATATTAACCTGTACTTTTCTGTGTGTGTACTCACACAGAAAACTTCGTAAGAAAGGCTGAATATTAACAACCTCCACCTTTATAAAATAGTGCAACACGATCTCCGAGTTTAATTTATCATTATCATTAAATGTTAACTCTCATTTATATTCATGATAATCATAAATTCAAGTCATGCGCAAAACATACAGTAATTTCGAAACGTATGCGCAGCACATGCTAATGTTTGTTATCAACATGGCGATGAATTTGACGAGTGGTAAGTTAAAGTATATGAATAATTCATAATGATTTGCTTTATCTGGCATTTGTGTAAGGGTAGTTTCTGAAGGGTATACTTTTTTAATATACTGGGTAGGTTTAATTCTTGAGTTGATTGCAAGGTTGATCCTACGGGTTCGTAAAACGTATGAATTGAATTTTTTATGTCGTAGATGCACTTATGCGGTGCATAAATTCTTGCTTTATATTTATAGAATTAAAAATCTTGTGTGAATAAGCACGTATTAATAACATGAATGGATAGACTTATTTCATTTTGTGTGCTGCTTTTAGTGCTTTAATTTCAAGTCCAAGAAAAATATAGTATACAAGCATATCTAATGTGTATAATTTAATAATATAAAACTAAATACATGCATGAACCGAGTTCAACAAGGAACTACTTATATGTTGAACAGTTGACCCCAAGGGCTATGCTGTATATGTTGAACAGTTGACCCCAAGGGCTATGGTCCTTATTGAGAACTACTTATATGTTGAACAGTTGACCCCAAGGGCTATGGTCCTTATTGAGAACTACTTATATGTTGAACAGTTGACCCCAAGAGCTATGCTTCCTGTATAGGTCTATATATTATATATATATATATATATATATATATATATATACTTTAGCTTAATAAAATTTCAGCTTAGGGTCTTTGTGTTGTTGTCAGGATTATTTAAAAATAGTATAGGCTCGGGGTCGACTCGGGGGACAATCGGAATATACCGGAGAGAACAGGAGGGAACGGGAAAAACGAGAAGCGTAAACGTCGGTTGATATTATGTGAGTTCTGCACGGTGTGTAAAGTGAAATCATTAAATAAATACATGAAAACATTTGCGACACAGTGGGGATCCTGCCAGGACGGCGTTGCTGGAAGAAACAGTGAGTTGTGAGTCAAATTAAGCAATAAATTTTAACATTTTGAGAGTCGAACAAGGAAACAAAATGGCCAACGTTGTGGAGAAGAAGATCGAAGGTAAGCTTCGTTTATTGAAGTTTAACAATGAACAAACAACTAAAATCGTGAATTCGGCTGATCTAAAAGCTATTGAGAGACATGTGAGCGTATTAGAGTCGATTATTGAGAAAATACACGAACTAAAATTGGAAGTTCAAGAGATCAAAATAGAAAGTGGTGAAGAGACCGACAAAGTTAGGGTTTGGTCAGAGACATTAGAAACGGAACTGCGCCAATTCGAAACCATCACCAAGAATGTCAAACATGTAGCTAGTGAGATAAAACGGGAAGAAGGAGAGAGACTTGATGAAGAAAAGTGTAGGCGAGTTTTAGAGAACAAAATTGAACTAGAAAAGGCAAAACTGGAAGTTAGATCTAAGCATGAAGCAAGTCCCAAGGCCTCAAGTGATGGGGAGATGAGAGCTAAGTTACCTAAGCTTGTCATTAGCAAATTCCAAGGCACCCATCTGGATTGGATCAGATTCTGGAATCAATATGAGACTGAAATTGACAAGTCCAACATAGCACCGGTAGCCAAACTGTCTTATTTAAGAGAATTACTTATGCCCAATGCTCGAGTGATGATAGAAGGACTTCCTTTCTCGTCTGAAGGGTATGAGAGAGCAAAGACAGTTTTGAAGACCAAGTATGGACAAACTAGTGAAGTGACAAATGCACACATACAATGCATCTTAGGACTACCTAAAATCCATGGAACAGAGCCGGCCAGGGTACACAAATTCTATGAGACACTTGCAAGTCATGTTCAAACATTGGAAACATTAGGCAAACTCAGGGACATTGGGGGCTTTGTACGAGGAACTCTGGATAAGTTACCAGGCATCAGACTAGATTTTGTTCGCCTTGATGATGATTGGCAGCAGTGGGGTTTTGCACAACTAGTTGAATTGCTGAGAAGGTGGTGTGACCGCAATCCAATACATTCAAGTGATTGCAGAGATAGTCATAGTTGCAGTCATGGTCACTCCTACCAAGCAAAACTTCACCAAGTTCGACGGTGTGCATATTGCGAGGGTGAAGATCACAAACCAGCAGAGTGTAGTAAGGTCACAGATGTCAAGCAACGTAGGAAGATTCTTAGCGAAAAGCGACTCTGCTTCAATTGCACTGGCGGAAGACATCAAGCAAGGGATTGTAAGAGCAAGCACACTTGTCAAAAATGTGGTGGTCAACATCATACTTCGATATGTGATACGAAACTTGGCAAAGAACAGATGTTGGTGGCAACAGGTGAATCTACAGTAATTTATCCAGTGGTAGTGGTGTTGATTGACGAAATTAAATGTAGAGCACTACTAGACTCAGGCTCAGGGAGCTCATATGCGTCATCTTCCTTAATAAAAAACCTACACAAGAAACCAACTCATACTGAGCATAAGCAAATTGAGATGATGGTCTGTTCAACCACCCAAAAGGTCAACAGCTATGAGGTGAACGTATCGAGTGTCAATGAGAAGTTTGAAATGTCAACAATGCTGAATGAAGTAGATAAAAGTGTACTTCTGACAGTCCCAAACCCTAGATATGAAGAGCTTCTGAAGCGATACAACCATTTGCAGGGAGTGGTGATGGACGACAATGATCAGAAGAGTGAATTGCCTGTTCACGTAATCTTGGGGGCCAGTGATTATTCGAGAGTTAAAATGGAAACGAAACCGAGAATTGGTCAACCACTGGAACCAATAGCTGAGTTGACAATGTTGGGATGGACGGTGATGTCTGCTGGCAGTGAGTCTAAATTGTCAAATGTTTATGCAACTAGAACATCATCTGCCGATTACCAAGAGTTATGTAGCTTGGATGTGTTGGGTCTGGAAGACCAACAAGAAGGAAATCAACCAGTCATTTATGAGGAGTTCGCAGAACAGCTCACCCAAAATAAGGACAGTCGTTACGAGACAAGTCTGCTATGGAAATCAGGACATGACCCCTTGCCTACAAATGAACATGGAAGCCTAAAACGGTTGGAAAACTTGGTAAGGAAACTAGGAAAAGATCCAGTCCAGTTAGACAAGTATGACACCATCATTCAGGAACAATTAGCGGAAGGTATTGTGGAGAGAGCTGTCAATGAACCTCAGGGTAGGGAATTTTATATTCCCCATAAGCCGGTGATCAAGGAAACCGCTGAAACAACTAAAATGAGAATTGTGTTTGATGCGTCTGCGAGAGAACGTGAGAAAAGCCCGTCTCTGAATGATTGTCTGGAGACAGGCCCACCTCTCCAGAACCTCTTATGGAATGTCCTGCTCCGAAACCGACTAAAGCCGATGGCTTTATCTACCGATCTGAAAAAAGCATCCTTACAGGTGCTTATAAGAGTGGAGGACAGAGACGCCTTACGTTTCCACTGGATCAAGAACAAGAACCCCAGGGACATTGAAGTTTTAAGATTTACACGAGCATTGTTTGGGTTAGTTCAATCCCCTTTCTTTTTGGCTGCAATACTAAAGCAACATTTGAATCAGCAAAGAGAGAGATATCCAAAAGAGATAGAAAAGATAGAAAGATCCTTGTACGTCGATGACATTATCACTGGTGCATCCACGGAAGAAGAAGCCCTGAGTTTGAAAGGAACTACCAAGACTGTGTTCGAGAAAGCCGCTTTTGAACTCCATAAATGGTATTCCAATGATTCACGACTGGAAAGCGGAGAGGAGAACAATCATGTAGATCATCAACAGAGCTATGCCAAAGATCAGCTGGGAGTTCTGCAAGGAGAGACAAAATTGTTAGGATTACCATGGAACAAACATAACGATACGCTTGGTGTTACTTTCCCAAATAAGCCTGATGAGAATACAAAGAGAGAGATTTTAAGATTCCTAGCATCAGTTTATGATCCCCTTGGGTTTGTATCTCCTGTTACCTTATTGGGGAAGATCGTATTTCGTGAGGTTTGCAACAAACACCTCCCATGGGATGAAAAACTGTCTGACAATCTTGGACAGCAGTGGCTGAAGTTCCTGCGCTGCCTTCCAGAGAAGGTTCTTTGGGCAAGAAGTATCCCGAGATACAGAGAACCCTTAGAAATCGTGGAGTTACACACTTTCAGCGATGCCAGTGGGTCTGGTATTTCAGCAGCAGTATATGCGGTAGTGAAGCAACCATCAGGTGTAAGTGTCGGATTGGTGGCGGCAAAATCGCGATTGGCCAAAAGGAGCCTTACAATCCCAAGGCTGGAATTGGTATCGGGACACATGGCCGCGAACTTGGTGGACAATGTACGAACCACACTCTTGGGGTACCCAGTGAGAGCAGTATTTGGATGGCTAGACAGCCTAGTCGCCCTGCATTGGATTAAGGGAGGCGGAACATACAAACAATTCGTTTCCAACAGGGTGAGAAAAATCAACGAGAAAGATTACATTATGTGGCAACATGTTGGTACTGACGATAACCCAGCTGATCGAGGGAGTCGAGGATGCGAAGCAAATCATTTAACTGGTGAATGGCTCAACGGACCTCATTGGTTGGCTGATTCTGTGATGAGTTATAATACAAGGGACTTACCCTGTATATTTACCGCCTAAGGTTGTCCTGTCGGAAAAGATAATGCAAGATGCTCATGAATTAACTCTCCATGGGGGAGTTGGTCTTACCATGGCACTCGTTTGCCGCGATTACTGGATACCACGCCTGCGACAGCTTGCACGAAGTGTCAACACTCGCTGTTATGGATGCAAGAAATTTCATGCGTCAGCTTTCCACAGCCCTCCCCCCGGAAACCTACCGGTTGAACGTACAGAAGGCTCCTCGCCGTTTCAAGTCATTGGCGTGGATTACGCGGGCCCGATAGTCTACAAGTTTTCCAAGAAGAGAGAAGGCAAGTCGTACATACTGCTTTTCGCCTGTAGCTTGTCAAGAGCGATACATCTCGAGCTGCTGACAGACCAGACCACGGATGGGTTTATACGGTGTTTGAAGCGATTCATAGCGAGACGGGGAAGACCTACCACCATATACTCTGATAATGGGAAAAGTTTTGTAGCGGCTGCAAAGTGGCTGAATGCGTTGATGAAGGATGAGAAGTTACAAGACTACCTTGCCCATCACCTGATAAAGTGGAAATTTAATCTAGCTAAAGCACCCTGGTGGGGTGGACAATTTGAACGGTTGGTAGGAATTGTTAAACAAGCGCTCTATAAGTCGATTGGTCGAGCTGTTTTGAGTTTTGAGGAATTGGAGGAGGTTTTACTCGATGTGGAGATTGCTGTGAATAACCGTCCTTTATCGTACGTTGAAGATGATGTTCAACTCCCGATTTTGACGCCGAATCTCATGATGTATGGACAGACAAATCTCCTACCTGAAGCAGATGTTGATTTAACGGAAGGAACAGATTTGCGGAAGAGAGCTAAATACCTGCGTCGTTGTAAGGACGTGTTATGGTCCCGCTGGACCAATGAGTACGTAAAAAGTCTAAAAGAAAGGCATAACTTGAAAAATAAGAGTAAAAAGTTATCACTGAAAGTTGGTGACGTAGTAATAATTCAAAGCGACCAGAGGAATCATGGTAAATGGAACATTGGGATCATTGTGAAGCTGATTAAAGGAAGAGATGGAGTAATTCGTGCTGCTAGGTTGAGAGCCGAGAAATCATACATTGAGCGAGCGGTCCAACAATTGTGCCCTATGGAGCTGAGTTGTGACGAAGTTGTTGCGAAGGGACATGTGGAACAATCGGAGAGTTTAAAACCCCTGGCAAAAGAGTTTGCGCCCAAAAGAGCCGCAGCTAAGGAAACAAACGAACGGATTAAAGACATTTTGAACAAGGAAAGTACAGTCGAATAAGAAGACTGGCGAACTCGGTCAGAACACTTGGACCTTGAACTGTAGTGTAGGACAATTAACTTCTAGTTACGTTATATATATATATATATTTGCTTCATTGCATGAATCAAATGGGGGGAGAGTGTCGGGATTATTTAAAAATAGTATAGGCTTGGGGTCGACTCGGGGGACAATCGGAATATACCGGAGAGAATAGGAGGGAACGGGAAAAACAAGAAGCGTAAACGTCGGTTGATATTATGTGAGTTCTGCACGGTGTGTAAAGTGAAATCATTAAATAAATACATGAAAACATTCGCGACATTGTACAGTAGGGGGTAAAGTTATCTTATCAAGGCCTTGTATATTTTCTGAAAGCACTGTGATCACATTGAGGTCATAAACAACAGCAGGGAAAGTCCATGAGAAAGTTTGTAACATGTTGTACACCACTTAAATAAAAATGGCTGTAACCGAGCTACCAGCTCCATAGCTAGAAGCCTTATTGAAGGGGGCAATATTCTTATGCCCGACTGCGTTTTTTTTTAAGAACAATTAAATAGTTTTTACGCTTATTTGAACATAGATATATGAATAGTGCCCTCCCCCATTAAGCTTCTAGCTACGGTCATGTAGGTAACACATTTGAGTTTTTATATTTGTTATAAGGAACGTCTAAAACATAGGTTATTACATGTGTACAAATAAAACAAATTATGTGCATTCCTGTACACCAATAAGCTTTTTTCATGAAGATCATATTTTGCTGAGTAGGTATTCAAATTTGTGCACCTAGGTATGTGCAATTTTAGTACCACAAAATGTTTATTCTAGTAAGGTATCTGAAATATCATCCTAAGGAAATTTAAAATTATGTCATAAAAAATGACACAAAATGACAATTTGCCCCATATTATCTAAATCTGTTTGTTATCCCTATTCCCATTGCAATTATAGTACGATATACAACATAATGGTTTGAAGGGTATTAATTTCGAGTGGAATTATACACACTTCAAATTCAAGCCAGGAACTGTTGATGGAAAAATGAGTCATTTCTATCCGTCCTCCGGCAGGAATCTAAGCTACGCTTTTGCGATGCCGGTGCAATGCCAAAAGTCATAACGGATTTACCCTCACCTATTCCCGGCATTACCATATATACATCATATACACATTTACCACGCTTGTTCTTGGCAGCTGCCCCTGTAGATCTGTGGTAAGAGCATTGCACCGGCATCGCAAAAGCGTAAGTTCGATTCCTGCCGGAGGACCGATAGTTGACTCATATTTCCATCAACTGTCCCAGGCTTGAATTT